TGCGGTTGGCCCTGGGTTCCTCCTAATGCAAGACAATGCTAGACCTCATGTGGCTGGAGTGTGTCAGCAGTTCCTGCAAGACGAAGGCATTGATGCTATGGATTGGCCTGCCCGTTCCCCAGACCTCAATCCAATTGAGCACATCTGGGACATCATGTCTCGCTCCATCCACCAACGCCACGTTGCCCCACAGACTGTCCAGGAGTTGGGGGATGCTTTAGTCCAGGTGTGGGAGGAGATCCCTCAGGAGACCATCCGCCACCTCATCAGGAGCATGCCCAGGCGTTGTAGGGAGGTCATACGGGCACGTGGAGGCCACACACACTACTGAACCTCATTTTGACTTGTTTTGAGGACATTACATCAAAGTTGGATCAGCCTGTAGTGTTGTTTTCCACTTTAATTTTGGGTGTCACTCCAGATCCAGACCTCCATGGGTTGCTAAATTTGATTTCCATTGATAATTTCTGTGTGATTTTGTTGTCAGCACATTCAACTATGTAATGAACAAGGTATTTAATAAGAATATTTCATTCATTCAGATCTAGGATGTCTTATTTTTGTGTTCCCTTTATTTTTTTGAGCAGTGTATATATTACACACAGAACTCAAAAAATAGACTGGACAGAATTATTGACACCTCCAGGTCTCTCAGATCTGGACTCATTGCTGGTCACTTCAGAACTCTCCAACACATTGCTTGAAACCATTTCTGCCTTTTGAAGTCTACTTTGGGTCATTGTCCTGCTGTAAGATCCATGACCTCTAACAGACCTCTAACATTTCTCCAGAAGTCAGATCTTTGTCCTCATGTGCAGCTACAAACTGTAGTCTGCTTTTTCATGGCAGTCCTAGAGCAGTGGCTTACTTCTTGCTGAGCAGCCTTTCAGGTTACATCCATGTAAGACTGGGTTTACTGTGGATATTGATACTGTACCTTTGTACCTGTTTCCTCCAGTGCTGGGATTGATTTGTACTGACCAAAATACGATCATCTCTAGGAGACAGGACACATCTCCTTCCTGAGTGGTATAACGGCTGCATTGTCCCATGGTATTTATACTTGTGTAGTATTGTTTGGGGCAGCACGGTGGCACAGTGGTTAGCGCCGTTGCCTCACAGCGAGAAGGTTCCAGGTTTGGGCCCCACCTGGGACCTTTCTGTGTGGAGTTTGCATGTTCTCCCCGTGCTTGCGTGGGTTCTCTTCGGGTACTCCGGCTTCCTCCCACAGTCCAAAGACATGCAGCCTAGGTTGATTGGTGTCTCTAAATTGCCCATAGGAGTGCATGTGCGTGCGTGTGCGTGCGTGTGTGTGGTTGTTTGTCTATGTGTTAGCCCTGCGATAGATTGGCGACCTGTCCAGGGTGTCCCCCGCCTTCGCCCGATTGCCGGCCGGCCGGGATTGGCTCCGGTCCCCCCCTTGACCCCGTTCAGGGAACAAACGGTAGAAAATGAATGAATAGTATTGTTTGTACATATGAATATGGTACCTTTAGTTGTCTGAAAATTGCTCCCAAGGAGGAACCAGACTGGTGGAGGTCCAGAGGTTTTTTTTCAGAGGTCTTGGCTGATTTCTTTTGATTTTCCCATGATGTCAGAAGTACTGAATTTGAAGGTAGGCTTTAAAATACATCCACACATGCACCTCATATTAAATCAATGATGTCAATTAGCCTAACAGAAGCTTCTAAAGCCATGACATCATTTTCTGGAATTTTCCAAGCTGTTTAAAGGCACAGTCAGCTGAATAGATGTAAAATTATGACCCACTGGAACTGTGATATAACAAATTATAAGTGAAATTATCTATCTGTAAACAACTGTTGGAAAAATTACTTGTGTCATGTTTAAATTATGTCCCAATCAACATGCCAAAATGAGAGTTTGTTAACATGACATCTGTGGAGTGGTTAAAATAAATCAGTTTTAATGACTCACCTATGTGTATGTAAACTTCTGACTTCAACTGTATATGGCCAGCACCTGCTGATTGCTACAGGTGAGTTTCATTACAAATTAAAGGAGCACCACATGCTTGAAATACAACTACTTCTGATGATTTTGAAAAGGTATCCATAATTCCATCAAGTCCATTTTTGGACTTCTGTGTGGAATTGATCAGATCTGGCTTTTTTCCTCTGCTTTTTTATGTTGTTCCAATGCAAACAAAAAATATAAATTTGAGAATACCTATATCTATATCTACACACACACACACCTTATTGACACAGTCATTAATCAAGTTAAAATGCATGCAGAAATCTCTATCTGAAATGAAGCTGTATCCTCAGAGCCATTCAGTAATGTCTCAGGAGAATACTGGTTTTGTGCCACTAGGCTGGATGTGGCACATGCAGGGAACTGAGGTACCTCGTAGATTCTTAACAAAGTCCTCCAGCTTCATCTTCCTCTCAGGTTTGACATTTGGGCTGTACATGTCTGTGTTGAGAAGGATGATGGCAAAGGCCAAGATGAAGATGGTGTCTGGGTTCCTGAACTGTCGCACCACACCAGGGTTGCAGATGCAGTAGCGCTGGCTGTGAAGAGGACATTGGGCACAGAAGGGTTAAAGTCAAAATGATCTCAGCTGAATTTATTTCTGCAATTGTTCTTATTTACTTACTGGATCAAATCTATAACTATCAAAAAGAAAAAATCTTAGTTATGCTTTTGATATGATAGCGGCCCCTGCGTTACCATATCTTTAAGTGCGATTGACAATGTCTATTGTGTTATTTAGGTGCAACATCTGTGTGAGCAAGTAATAAAAAATGTTCACTATATCATATATCACATCACAGCCTGACAGACAATTAACCAGGTCACATGGCTACTTGTTACTGTGAGTTTTACTGGTCTGTTCTTTCACCACACCTGGAAGCATGAATGAAAGACAGCTAAAGCTATCTAATGTACACCCCTCATTTCCAAAATGCAGGGTGTACATGGCACTGCTAATGACCCAACAGGTCACTGGCAATGTTAACAGTAGCAAGCTAGGCTAACAAGCCACTCTGAGGCTTGAGGCTCAGACACAGCTTCCACATATGTCTAAAAATAAAAATAAAAAACTGAAAACTAGATGTAGATGTACTGTCATTATACTTTATACTTTCTTACACAAGTGAGTAGAATCAAATCTGCACACCCTTTTGACTTTGCATCAGAAAAAGTTAAGCATACTGTAATGTAGTGCTAACATTAGATATGAATAAATATGACAGACAGAAGGTTTGACACTAAAGAAGAAAACATGACATCTCCCCTTCATGGCAAAATGAATCCTCTTCAGGGTATCAATGTTGATACTGAGCTCTCCACTAGCTGAGCTGTGGTCATATACAATAAAAATAATGGTTCACAGACTCAAGCCAAAAGAACTACGAGCCAGCGAAGTTTGTCAGTACAAACTGCATCAACCAGACAGGCCATTAGGCAGCTTTCTCAGTCACCATAAAATGAACATATCTGGACTGGGCTGCAGACAAGCAGCACCAATCTAACAGTTACTGTGGTGTTTACTGCATGGGGCCAAACTGTCCTTGTTCATTGCTGACTGAATCAAATTCTCTGTGGACATGAGAGCACCTTTATACCAGAGATCATACAGGCTGTGTTGGTGGTAAATACTAAACACAGCAATAAAACCCATAATGATAATCCTAACCAGTTGGTCTAAGCTGATGTTATTTGCAAAAACATCACTTTATCCCACCTTGCAGTGGAAAACTACATGATCCAGACATCGCTCAGTCTAAGCTGTTTTGGGAGATGAAGCCATGTCATGTGTTATGTTTCCAATTGCCAGAAGAGTTTCTCACCTGTATGCCTCTATCAGGCGCTCAACCTTCTGTGCTTCTCCCTGGACTCTAATGTGAGCCTGGAATTTCCTGAGTGCTTCGTCCAGCTCCATACCTGAGAAGTCCATTTCATCCACCACACAGCTGGTGAAACACACAGTCAGCAGTGGTGAGAAGATCAGTCTGGACAGGAAACTATAGAATACTTTGATTATGTGGCATCAATATGTATTTTTGTTTAGGCATATGCATTCAATAATTATCAAAAATATTAAAGGTCATGAAAAAAAGTCTTTTAGATTATGGTAAAACAGGAAATCCATTTGGTAATGTGTTTTATGATAACCCATCTAAATAAAATGTTAGAAATGCATTTAATGGTCTAATAACAGTCTCAAGCTGGATTAACTCAGTCAAGAAAGCTGCATGTCCCATATACACAGTGTTCAACAGAGACAACAGTGAAATTAATGTCTACTTTTCTTCACTGTATTTAAACACATTTGCTATATCAGGGAAAGGCTATTTGCAGCACACAATCATCTGATGTATTACCACTTTGTAAAATTGTTGCGGTGAACAGGTTAGCTAACAGCTGCTAATTTATGAACAATTCCCTTTCTTATTACCTGTATTAATATGATTTCCATGGGTTTAATGCAGAACATTTGCTTGAAATCGAGTATGATTTACTGTGATCTTGGCACTTGTGTTTAAGAACCTGAGCACTTCTTTCTCCATTGAAGAGAGGATTGTGACTTGGCTCTCCAGGGCACTGATACCTTGATACCTTGTCAAGATTTATAGACATTCTCTCAAGGAGTCCTTCAGATATGCCTGTCAAACTGACAGTGACAGACCTTTTCTGGCCTTATCCTCCAATGAATCTCAAAGGGCTCTGATAGAACTGGTGTGCTTCAAGTGCAATTCAGATCAGTCTGTCCAGACTAAACCATAGAGTACAGGTGCTATTATTTGAATGAGCCAAAGAATCGCTGGTGGAAAATATGAGATTTTTACAACTTTCTGTCCTTATTAAGATGATAGACATAGATAAATTGAGTCCATATGTTTATCTGAGGGATGCTCAGCAATTTCTTGAGTGGATTTTGTTTCATTTTATTGCCAGGATTTCACTTGAGTCATTATGTTATACTCAAATTCCACAGAGTATTTGAGTGAGGGTAGATTGCAAACTGGCAACCCTATTTGCAACTATGTGATGATTTACTGTATATGTATGTTACTGGGAAGCAGATAAAATAAAATTCTGTGCACTGACTCAGGTGGTAACTCAAATCAAAAGCCTGTTTAGAGAAATGGTTTTGGGGTGATCCACCTGTTCCTCCATCTGATTCATCACCACATATAAATACATCAAACAGTACACAGACATGAACCATTGCAAACTCACTCTAGCACATCTCGGTTGAACTGTTTTTGTCTGTTACCCAGGAACTCGCCAATCATCTGCCTACTCAAACCCTTCCTCTGAAGCAGGAAATGGGCCACACCCACTGGAGTGTCTGGAACAAAGTTTCGCTCTATCAGATACTGGATGCCTTTTTCTGGTTTCCTGGAGACAGTGAGAGAGAGAAACAAAAAGTTGAAGGAGTGAGGACACAATCCAAATCTGTGATCATCCCACTACACTTCTGCTGCTGGCCAAATGTATGTCAGATAAGGGACAGGATTTGGGGAAGGAGGTGGGAGGGCTGAGAGTGGGGAGGAGGAGGGATCTGCTTTTCACTGCAGTGTTGATCACAAATGATTAAAAGGAACTTAATGACTGGCTCTGAAAGAAACCAAATCCACATAATCTGTGATTAAAGGGAGTCACGCAGACTCAGATGAAGATGAAGTGGGGAAGAACAATTCCTGGGCTTGTTTGTACCTTAAGTAGAACAAAGAGTTGTGACTCACTCAACATCACTGGATATTCATCATACATAAAAGTTGCATTTTGGACTTGTCCAAAACAAACTGTCTCTGATCTTTGATCTAATTTTCATAACCTCGTCCATCCCTCATTGGGTATGTATAGTGTCGATTGTACAATTCAGAAACTGAAAAAGTCAAAGCATTCTAACAATCTGTGACTGGCTCTGTGTGGGCAGTTTGTTAATGGATCTTGTGTAGTGTACATACTTGTTGAAGAGGTTTAAACCAATGCGGTAGTGCCTCTTGCGGATGATGTCATTGCTGAAAGCAGGGGAGTCCCAGCTGTTGCGAGTCTCTTTGTGATACGTCTGCTTGCTGAGCGTCTGCTCCCTCAGGCTGTCTCTGGAAGAGGACTCAGAGCTGCAGTTGATGGTGTCATTGGAATTGGATGTGCTGTTGATGCTGTCATTGTCGCCATCAGAGAAATCAGACTCCGACTTGCTCTGCCGATTTGTAGTGCCGTTGATGGCCAGGTGAGCCTCTAGTTGTCGTGGCTGATGACAGGAAGCATCTTCCTCTCTGGGGGGTCCACGGGGTGGCAGGCTGTGGCTAATGTGCTTGGGACTGCTCTGCTGGTTGCTGAGGTGCCGCTCATAGGCGTTCTGCCTTTTCAAAGAGCTGCGGTCAGAACGATCACTCAATTCCACTGAGCTGTCACTGGGAGGCTCTATGGTCAGTAGGGGTAGGTGGTCTACCCGCAAGCGCTGCTCTTGGCATTCCAAAGAAGGTGTACTTCGGCAGCTGGTGTCTGTGTCCCCTTTCTCATCCTTATGAGCCAGTGACCAGTAGTCCTGGGAGGAGTTGAGGGACCGCTGACGCATGTCTGATTCTATGCTGGAGGGTCGGTCTACAGACTGAGACAGGGGCAGGGGTGGGGACAGTTCTTCTTCATCAATGTAAAGGGTCACATCACTGTAAGATGCCGTCATCTCATCCAGTTTGCGGCGTTCTGAGACACTGTGGGATGGTTTCACTTGGCAGCTAACCTCCCTGTCCATATCCTGATGACCCCTCCCTGGCTCTGACTGACTGTCGTCACCATGTAGACTGCGACAGTTTAAAGCATCATCTATGGACTCAGCTAGAGACTTGACCTGCCTGGAGAAGGCATCCTCTAGTTCTGTGATAGCATCTGTGAAGTCGCTCTGTGTTGTGGGTGTCTTAGCCTGAACGCCCATCTCCCCACCATGTTCTGACTGCATCAGTGTGCCAACTTTGGTGCCATCATCTGTTAGTGAGACCTGCTTTCCCTCGAAGAAGGAGCTGTGGACTTTTTCAGGTCCTTCAAAGGAAAACTGCATTCTCATATTGGATAGGACAATCCGTCTGGACATACGGTTCTCAGACATAGAACTTCTAAGACGCTCAAAGTTTTTGTTCATCTGGTACTGGCGGAAAGCTGTCTGGATGGTACGGGCTGCATGGCGGGTTATGAAACGCCCACCATATTTGCGCTCTAGCATCTCCACCTACCAACAGGAAAGGAACGTTTTTGTTGTTAATCATTCTGAGAAACACAGAAATACAGTAGGTCCTTGCTCTTATGGTAATCACCTTTAAACATGTAAACCTTTCACAGTGTGTTCTACAATGAGCCATCTGGTGATAAGGAATAATCACTAACATCCCAAGCAAAATCAGGAAGGGTAAACACTACATTACTGTATGTAAGGTACTCAGTAGGGGGTGTTTTTGTTGAGTTCTATTTTAAGAGTTTTAACTTAAGGTCCAATTACTGGACCTATCAATCGCGATTACAGCGTTTAGATACCTTTCATTTGAAGAAGGATGAAAATGACCATACTTGACAGGAATCAATTGTTCATAGTGTGCCCTAAACTGAAATAACTGAGAAATAGACCATTACACCAAACTGCAATACTTATATTTAGGACCGTGTCCAGGGCTATGTAGTATAGCCCTGGACTGTTTATACATGGACCCAGTTTTCTACCTATGGACTCATGACACTAATCATGTCTCCTTGCTCCATGTGAGGGCAAAGGAGGCCAGTGGACTCACATTTGCCACAAGGAATATGGACCATGAAAGTGAGTCTCACTAGAAGCAGTCACAACTGTCACTGCTTAACAAGAGCAGTGTCTTTCCTACACAGAACCAGCTGTATAGCCTCGAGGCCAAACCAGATTAACACTGTACTGCTTTATTTTACGGCAATGAGAAGATTCAGCCTGACAACAGCTTGTGGTAACAAGAAATATAATAACCTTCAGATAAGGTAATAGCAGTTATACTAACTGGCTTGGAATTGATAACATTGGTAGTTTGTTATCATATATATCTTATAAATAATTTCAAAAGCATTTTGTTACATTTTCAACAGTTCTGACATTATCTGACAGTTACTGTGCTGACAGTGAACTTGCACTAGAGATCTTTATGGGTCCACTTGCCTGTAGAAAGACATTGAATTGCTGTCAGCCACTGGCCTCTGTGACAGTATGTACAATACCCTAATGGATACAACTCACAGTCAGCTCTGACTATGTGGTGTGTCCTAATTGTTATTGAGGAAAATATTTTTTGAAGTACATTGAGAATTCTGAAGGAATAATTATATGTATTGCTGCCTTTATTACCTAATGTACCTTATACATTCTGTGAGAAAACCGATATAAAACTGGGCAAAAAAAGTGAGACACCAGTATGTTACTGTAACTCAAATTGGGCCTGATTTGTTTCAGTTGAGGCAACTTCACCAAATTCATATTAATAGTGGTCTATGAAGTCACTAGCAGCAGCTGTAGTGATAGTAGTATGGACATATTATCACCTTACAAAAATATAAGGCCAAAATGTTAGCAAACAGTTGCTTATTAAAACATCCTGTATACACAAAACAATATTAACATTCATTTGGAGATGACTATGAAATGAGCTGAAAAAGTTCAACAAAACTTACCAATAAGCCAAAATTTTTTGTTTTGGTTGTTGATCTGACAACCAAAACAATTAACTAAAAGACAATAAACTGCTTCATAGTGTTGAGGGGAACTGCACTCAGATGATAATTTCCTGTGGATTTGTCACAAGCTACAATGACCCAATGTTAACGAACAAAAAAAGCGCTGCTTCTGTGATTGTTGTACATATGAATTTACTTGTACTGTATGATGACATACAGTACAGAAGCCTATGCCTACTGAAAATATATTCATGTTATTATTATTATTGTAATATTATTTCAAACAGCTGTTCCTTGCACCCCCTCTCACCTGTTTGTCCTGTAGGTCTGACGAGAGCTCATAGCTCTCTGATAGTGAACGGGAGCGTTTGATTGCCTCTTCCTCTGCCTGCTTGCGCAGGATGGAATGGGAGTGCTGGAGTTTGGACCGGCGGGGCCGTGGGTGGCCCGGCAGCAAGATGTGTCCGTATAGCTGGCTGTCAATGTGGTCAGGGCCCAGCCCGCCGCTGTGTGTCACTGGGACGCAACTGTAACCACCGCTGGGGTCCACAGAGGCACCCACCTCACTGCCTGGAACATCACCTTCGACACTGCAACACAAGAAGATGAACAAAACACACTGGGTTAGGTCTGCTGAGTCATTTTCCACACACTGCTCTGTTTATGCAAGGAGCACATGACAGTTGGAAAAAGTGAACTTTGATACTGCTGACAGGCAGGTATAAATATGAATGAGAGTATTTATGGCAGCAGTCACAGTGCTGTACTCTTCATACAGTCCCTTCACAATGTGGAAAATATCTGGGCAGCTAAAAGAACGAACCACTGAATTTTAATTAGAAGAGATTAGGTGACTAGGAATAAATGATGAGTATCAAAGAATCACATAAGGCACACAAAACAGCTAAATCAGCAGGTCAATCCTAAAACAAAAACAAAGCAACACAAAGTCAAGTACTTAAAGCATATGAAGCAGCTCCATGAATATAAATACCCATTAGGATCTTTGTCTACTCACAGCAGCACAACCACTAACCTGGACAGTTGATGGAATAATCCCTTTTGGTGCCGAGCAGTGACGGGCTGTGCCACGCCACACTGCAGCAGCTAAATGTCAGCCACTCTACACCTCTTAGACTGCTGTGATTAGCCAAGAGGGTTAAAGTGCACTCTGATTTGGTACTCGGAGAAAGCTCAATAACTACTACTTAGAGGAATTAAAGCCAGTTTCACAGGGAGAAAAGGCAGCAACCTTACAAGCTGTCCCTCTCTGGAGACAGAAGGCTTAGTTTTAAAGAGCCCATGGCATGCTTTTCTGTTTTCTGACTTACATATCTACAATGTTACAACAATGAATTATCATCTTAAATGTGACCTAAAGTTAAAAAAAACAAGGTGTACGTGTGTTCTAGTATTTTTATGTAGAAGGACCTCAGTTTATACACGTCTCGCAAACTGTTGCTCATGAGACTTTTTTTTGTAACAAAATAAGGTATTAAGGATTTCCTTGAATGGTCAAACTCTCCAGGCTGTTGGATGTTCATATGAGCTTGCCTGACATCCGCCAGTGACCCCATGAAACCATTCTTTAAATAGACGATAGTAAATAGGATCCTATTTACTACTATCTATTTAGAGACAGTTTTCATCATGACTCCAGTCATACTACAAGTTCTATAGCCAATTTTTAATGTCTAGTTACTTTCACCCACCCTGTATGCTTGGTCATTTATTGAAGAAGCAAACCATCATCTTTTAAGTTAGAACATGGAGCAAACTTGGCAAAAATCCCCACAACTTAGCAGTCAGCAGAAAAGAGGGCTCCCATCTCTTCTCCCTCTCACACTGAACTGCCAAACAACCAGTGCACAGGTGGTATTAATTCATCTGTCCTCTACCGCTGTGCCCACACACACACCAACTTTAGTGACTGCGTGACAAATCTAAAACCCCAAAACCTTCTTGACTTCTACACAATGGAAAGCCAGTCTGTGCAGTTTTACTCGGGTCAAAATTTTTTTAACACATCAAACTCAGTCGCCACCAAGCCAAATCATCCCTGTGACCATGCACAGTGCTGCTTTCATTACTGTCTGCCGTCTGTATCCCATATACCAGAAGCCAGCCCAGCAAAGAGGAATTGCTAATGTCAGAACAAGGAAAGCATCTGAATTTAAATCCAAGTGAATACATATTTTCTACTCAAGATTCACAATTAGAAAACACAGTCAAAGCAGGTACATCCCACTGATACTGTTGCTGCGAATCCTGGATCAATTCTACAGCTAACACTTCACACCCAAACTACCCAGTATGGGTGTTACACTTGCAGTAACTGCAGTCAGTTCTCATAGTTAGTCTGCTGTGTTCTTCATTTAGGATGGTATTCCACTGACTTATTACAGTATATCACTTAGATAAAATTGGTTGACTAAGAAGAGACACATTAAATAGAAAAGCCCAAATTAAAAAGAATGTCATAACATTTAATCCTGAGCATAGGACAAAAAAAAGTTGAATCCGACATGTCACATATGCAGCTCATTAGCTTTTCTGCTTCATTAACATTGTGTGCCCTCCAAACCAAAATGAGATCATTTTGGGGAAAACCAACCCCGATGACATCATCAGGGTTATCATAAACCTCTCCCAGTCAGAGGGGACATTATGCAACAGTTTTCATTGGCTGAAAAATAAATCTACTGAATTCACATTTGTGTCTAAAGTCAGTGCAGTGCACCTTTAAATACCTTACAAATCAGTGTATTTAATGACTTTGATGCAAAAATCTATTTGAACCATTGTTCACAATGGTTTATAGTTGGACTGTATATTAAAGTTATAGCTACCATAGTATATAAACAATATGGCAAAATCCATATTTTACAGCATGTACCTTCCCAAATAATATACAATATAATATACAACATTCCCAGTAATAGCAGAATTCCTATGGTCTATTATCAAGCTAAGGTTGGCTCATTGTTTATATGTTTTTGTTCTAGAAGTAACATAACCGTCACTGTGCATGGGGACTGAATATTTGTGACTTATTTGTTCTGCAAATGTCGACTGATTATGAAAGAAATCAGACCTTGAACATCTGGCCCTACAGCTAGACATCAAACATAACCTGTCAGGCAGTTTGTATGCTGAGTGTGAGTATAGCACACTTCATCGATCAGTTGCACACAGCAGTAGTTGTACAATGCCACCATCAGAAAGCAGAACACGTTTTTAATTCAGGTTACAGGGTTCAGGCCTACAGTATTGTTGCAAGTGTAACATCTGACCTCAATCAATATGAAGGAGAGAAGAAAAATCTTCAGTTCATCAAATGAAGCTGGGAGTGAGGTGACATTGTTATGTAGATATGGAGCCAGAATCACCAGCTGATTTCTGATTGCTCCATAACCTTGTAAAATACACAAACCTCTGCAGGAGAGAATGCGTTAGAGTTTGAAAGTGAAGGTTAAAATTAAACCTTTAAGAGGAAATAGATTTGATGTACAGAAGACGTTTGAAGCAGTAAACACATGCAAGGTGAAATGAATAGTAATAAATGATGCCTGTACAACCAACAATCCATCCATCCAGAAAGACTGAAGTAGTTTAAGCCATTGGGTCTTTTAACTGTGATGATTTTGGCCCACATTTAACAAAAACCCACCAAATCACTATCTCAATAAATTAGAATATGGTGACATACCACTCAGCTAGTCAACTCAAAACATCTGCAAAGGTGTCCTGAGCCTTCAAAATGGTCACTCAGTTTGGTTTACTAGGCTACACAATCATGGGGAAGACTGCTGATCTGACAGTTGTCCAGAAGACAATCATCGACACCCTTCACAAGGAGGGTAAGCCACAAACATTCATTGCCAAAGAAGCTGGCTGTTCACAGAGTGCTGTAT